ACAAGCTACATGCTCAACTGTTGCTTTCTACTCCCTCCGTTCCTAAATATTTGTTTTTCTAGAGATTTCAACAAGTGACTACATGCGGAGCAAAATGAGTGAATCTATACTCTAAAATATGTCTATATACATCCGTATGTGGTAGTCCATTTAAAATCTCTAGAAAGACAAATATTTTGGAACGGAGGGAGTATGATCTTACTTGATCATGTACTTTATAAATCTCTGATGCCAAATGAGGTGTTATATATTTTTCTAATATTATGCCTCATTTAGGCAAGAGCAATCATGAGGCCTTATATGCTTATCTATCTCATCCATTGATGATCTCTTTCGAGGAACAGAAGGACTTCTTGTTCATTTAGAGAGGTAAGAATAACATTCAGCACACTTTCCTGACTGAGTGAAATTGATATTAGAGGTAGGATCTACATTTATACTTGGATGGTTGGATGCACAAACCTCTAAACGCATCAGTGAACTACAGTGTCATTTTTCTGGCCCTGTAAAATTCTAATTATGCATATCAATGCGACATGTGCATGCTGTAATTTTATATTCAGGTCTAATATGCTCGCTACCATGTTGGTCTTCTCAAGCCTTCATATGTGCAAGATCAATCTTTTGATTTTGGTACTTAATAAACTAAATCTTGAGCATTGGAGGAGGTAGCCCCTGGACTGGTGAAGACGCAAATGGGGACACGAGGAGGTTCATGGTGGTTCCAGGCTCATCTCTTTGGTGAGCAGCAGTGCGCTACGTTGGACAGTTACCAAGGCTGGACGGAGGTGTGCTCGTGCGGCCGGACGGTGTCGTCCTGGTCGAGCAGATCGCCGTACCAAGGCTGCCTGCCGGACTCCAATTCCCTACCGCTGTCAAGCTCTAGATCAAGCTCCACATGGACCTGTCTATCCGTGCGATATTGCGTTTCCTCTGGTGGCCGTCTGTTCCGCTTGGCGTTTCGTCTGGATCTGAGAGGATAAGGCCTCAAGGAGGGAGATGGGGAGGTTCATGGAACCATGGAAGTTTTCAGATGAGATTAGTTGAAAGAAAAGGGAAATTTTCCATGCTGCCATGCGAGAGTCAGAGGTGGGTGAGTTCCCTGATCCCCGGCTGTAGCAACATTGGCCACCACTCTATGCGCATCTGTGCCGCGAAAATCAGATTTCATGTAGGTAACAAGCATACTTTCCTCTTTTCATCTGGTCTAGAAATATGGTGCGAATGCATGGCTATGCTTTTGATTTTTCCTCCTGTGCATTGACTTGATAAGTATAGAGCCTAATGAGCACTGATGACCAGCGATGCCATAACATAAGAATTTATATGCCATCTCGATGGTCATGGTTTCTTCAGCATATATAGTCTACTATGTAATTATCTGTGCAACCAAGTTAACTGTGTAAGAGCCATTAAATATATCTTTAGACTTGCACAGAAGTAATTCTTGTTAAACTGTTGTTTGGTGATTGTGTCTCTTGCAGCCAATTTCTAGAAGACCAAGTTAACTGTGTAAGAGCCATTAAATATATCTTTAGACTTGCACAGAAATAATTCTTGTTAAACTGTTGTTTGGTGATTGTGTCTCTTGCAGCCAATTTCTAGAAGATTCATTACATGAATAATCCAAGTTCCTTTTACTATTCTGGCTATAGCAGACTATCCTGCCTTTTTGTAATTGTAGAATTACTAAGTTCATGTTGACTAAGGACCTATTCCGGATGCTTGCAAATTGTTAGAATTTCATCGCTCTTCATTTTCCCCAGCATTTGCTGTGTCCTGTAGGTTTCATAGCTTTCTGGGTATAAACTACATGCACCTAGCAGTAGATTATTTCTTAAGATTAATCAATCAATGTTGCACACACACACACACACACA